CGTCCTAGAGCTCAATGATGTCAGACAGTCTGCAAACTATACTTGTGTTGCTATGTCTACCCTTGGTGTTATAGAAGCAATAGCACAGATAACTGTCAAAGGTATATGCTGAGTACATAGATTCAGATTTGCTTCAATCTTTCATTCGTTATCCATATTCTGAGTAGATATATTGCAGTGAAAGAGACTATGTGCTTCTTTACATCTTAAATCAAGAGAGTAATCATTCTGACCATCATTGGCATATGCAGGAAAAAAACATTCAGAGAGTGCTAATCAATAAATTAATTTTAGCATTCCATCATTCACCTATGTTTAGTTTTCAGCTTTTATTTTAAATAAATGAAAGATCAAATAACTTCACATATTGGTCAACATCAAGACTCTGAAAACCAGTAATTTGATTTTTGGAGCTGGTGGGAGTCCAAGTGCAATATACACTAAGTGACTGGAAAACAAGTGTTCCAGACACATCCAGGAATCACATTGTGATGCTGCACTGTCTCTCTGTAAGATTATTTTTCTGTGTATGCTCTAGAGACCTTGTGTGAAAGTCAGTATCATGACTTTGTAACAAAGCATTTTATTGTAGGACTTGTAATTTTTCTAGGCTTCTGGAATAAATCACAATTGCCAGAAATTTGCTAGGAAAGACTTAAATTCTAAGGAAATAAATTAATGTTTCTTTTCCACACTTTTTTTTTTCTTTTTTTTAGTCTCAATATGTAATAATTGGTATTACGTAGTCCTGATTGTATTTTTTGATGTTTGTCTTTAGCCTTACCCAAACCTCCTGGAACTCCTGTGGTGACAGAAAGCACAGCAACTAGTATAACCTTGACTTGGGATTCTGGAAACCCTGAGCCAGTCTCTTACTACATAATCCAACACAAACCCAAAAACTCTGAGGAGCCATATAAAGAAATTGATGGAGTGGCCACAACGCGCTACAGCGTGGCTGGCCTAAGCCCGTATTCAGAGTATGAATTCCGGGTAGTTGCTGTCAATAACATTGGGCGAGGTCCTCCCAGTGAGCCTGTGTCGACCAGGACCTCCGAGCAAGCACCTTCAAGTGCACCACGTAATGTGCAAGCCCGTATGCTGAGCTCTACCACCATTCTGGTGCAGTGGGAAGAACCCGAGGAGCCTAACGGACAAATACAAGGTTACCGCGTTTATTACACCATGGATCCCACACAACATGTCAACAGTTGGACCAAGCACAATGTGGCCGACAGCCACATTACCACTATTGGGAACCTAGTGCCACAGAAAACATACTCCGTGAAGGTTCTTGCCTTTACTTCTGTTGGGGATGGACCACTTTCTAGTGATATTCAAGTCATCACTCAAACAGGAGGTAAGCAAGCAGTGTACAGAACTTGAGAAAAAAACACCTAAATACATGCAGAAATACTATGTTTGAGTTTGCAGTTTACAAATAATTCCTGTCAAGGATAACCCCAATTTCCTGAGGCTGCTTTTGCAGATCACCTTTTCTTGATTACACAGTATAGGTTTTCATTGACAAGAGGACCTTATCCCTCCACACACATTTAATTTTCCACTCTTTCAATTTTTTATCAGTCTCAAGAACTTTAACTGCATTAATATTATTGTGTTCTCTTGGAGACTGTCATCTTTGAGATGCCCAAATGCTGTGCCTACTGCTTGGCTGTGCTGCTGTGCACCTGCAATGTTTATTAAATAGTTTTTCACAGGTTTCATTGAAATTATTCTACTGTGCTGTTTTTTTGTTTAGATTGTGGGTTATTATTTTAGTAAACTGTGTTTTGGAAATAAAAATATTTGTGCCCTGCATGCATGTTGACATAATTATCAATACACAGAAAACATGATAGCATGGAGATATTGTGTGCATTCAGACCAGGAATTTTGTACAATTTTGATTTATTGATCAAATTCTAGTTTCCTCCACTAAGAATATGCAACAATTCTGGTCAGAAAACAAGTTCACCATTTCTTTGTTTTACATTTGCATGTAGGCTGCTTTGTTTCTGTACAGGACCTTTAGGTCCATGAATTAATTTTATTAGCAAATGCTAGCAAGCATAGTGAAATACATTGCAGAGTATTTTTAGGAAATCAAAAGCCAGAAATTGTAGGTGAGCTATACTGCAGGAAATGTTTTATAGCACCAGTAAGGAATAAAGTCCTTAGCCCTTTGTCTAGTGACTTAAAGAAAGGTGTATGAAGCATTACTGTAGGTCAGTGATGCCTAACAACATTGCCTAATGGTACTTGCAGTCAATACTAGACTGTTCCTGTTGTAGAATTATAGCCTCTCAATTAAAAAAAAAAAAATGTGCGTTGCTAAAGTATAGCTGAATGTGGTTATACTGGATCCAGCTTTTACTTCTGCATGCAGATTGGTTGATTCAAAGTTGATACTAGCATGCATTTAATGAATAACAGAAAATCAACTGTGTTGTCCTGGATTTTTTAGTGTTGTATTACACAAAGGTCTGAAGGTTGCCTTTCACAGTGTCTCAAATTAGCAGTTACTGAATTAATTTTTAAAGAGCTCCTTGAGGTAGTGCCTACATGCATATATGTGTATGTGTGTATATATGCACATGCAAATGTACACCATATTTTAATTTTGGCCTTTGTAACCTTTGTCACAGACTAGTTGGACTCTTTTCTTTCTGAATTGTGTTCAAAAATCTTCCAAGACCACCATTCAGTGAGTTCTTTGTCTGTGTTCCACTTTGCAACTTTGACACTTCAAAAGAAATATGTAATTTGGGGGGCAAGTAGGCATTTTTCAAAAAAACCCAAACATTTAAAAAATACAAATTTATGTCCACAATACAATCCCAAGTATTTTGTTTAAGCACTTTAAGTGAAAGCCGTGTCCTTTTGCTCTGCTGTTTTCAGCAGTAGTTTTCAACCATAAAAAGACATTTCAAGAAATGCAGCCACCCAAACTAGCTAGAGCGCTGAGCTCTTTGGAAAAGCAAAGCTGCAGTTACTCACTCTATGCTTCAGAGTGGCTTTGTGTTCTGTGCCAAAGAAGCTGATCCTGCTAGGCAAAGCCCGGCACTATGTGTTATTGAGGAGAAATGACACACAAACATCAGATTTTGGAATAAAGGTGTATCAAAGCTTTACTGTAATAGTCCTTGCTCTTTTACCTGGCTACTGAAAAACAAATGCTCTGTTGTTCTGTCTTTATTCAGCTGCTGAGGACACTTTTTAAGCATTCTCTCACATTTCCTTTCTTTGCTTAATGTGATCGTTACACATACTCTCTAAGCAACATACTTTATATGTCAGAAAATCCTTGAGCTTTAGTCAGTTTGGGGTTTATTTGAAATAATAATAAATTTTTTTTTTATTTCAATGTGTAAAGTATAGCTATTCTAATATTTTAGAGAATACCTATTCTGAGTTTCCCAGATTAGGCAGAAATAGCGAGAGTCAAAAATATGCCAAGCTCTTTTGGGAATTATATTATTGGAGAGAGAGAAAAAAGAGAGAGAATTCCAGAAAATACTTGCATATATCTGTTAATATATGCATATTTAGCCAAAAAATTACAGTATAAAACATACTGTTAACTTAAAGCCAAGGACTGGTTGAGGACTGGCAGCAGAGGGTTATTATGTTATTTTATTCTATTTTGGTATAAAAACCTAAGCCTTTGAAAGAATGAAAAAGGACAGTAATGGGAAGGTCAAGTGTCTGACTGTCTCTTAGATGAATGCAAAGGGAGAAATATTGCAGAACATGTCAACAGAGCCTTAGCTTAAAGGAAATGAATTAGTGGTCTAGGAGTTCTGTAAAAGAAGATGAGAAAGTCGGAGGAGGAGAATGAGTAGCAATAGGATAGAGGCTGTGTTTTATAGCTCTATTTAGCCCAATGTTTCTACACGTTTCGTGAAATCATGAGCAGGGAAACCTCATACCTGAAAGTCCATGGTGAAGTTTGTCCTATAGCCGAGCATTTCATGAATTTAGACCTCTGGGGAGGAGAGTGTGAGAAATGCAGCTGGCACCGATTAGGCACAGGGCAGGTTTGGGAATAAGCCTGGAGGAGGATGTCTTTGGAGTGGCAGTGTTCCCCTTCAGTTTTTGATAGCCCACTGCATTCAAAGCAAGACAACTTGCATTAATCAGTCAGCTCCTGTGTTTATTTTACTTAAATGGCATGATGAGAACAGTGTTGATAACCTCACGCGTGCCCTAGACTGTGTATTTTCTCTATTATTTCTGGTCTGAATCCAAAAGAGCCTATAACTATGGGATTCTCTTTGTTATATACATTTTTCTTTTAGTTAGCAGATTGCTTTTTTAAATATGATTTTTACATTGAAAGCTTTCTAACTCACTGCTTTTTCCCCTTCATGCTTCTTCATGCTAAATGTGTTTGTGTGTGTGTGTATGTGTGTGGATAAAAGTCTTCTATTTACTCATTTTTTTGTGACAAGATGCTTTTCCTACAGCTTGTGTTCTCCTCCTGCAACCTATCCCCATATCTTTTTTTTTCTTGCTCGTTTTCACATCTTCTTAGTCTTGTCTTTCACAGTCTTCGTAGTCTTAGAGGGTTTTTTTGTTTCTTTTTTTTAGCATTTGCGTTCTACTCCTTTTTGATGCAGTGAGTAATTAGTTAAAAGAAGAAAAAAAAAAGAAAAAAAGAGGTGACATACACAAAATGTATCTGTCTGCAGGCATTGAATTAATAAGTACACTGAATTCTGGTCTGGAAAATATGCTGATGAGTGTTGGAAATGTGTATCACAGATAACTTCTGACCATGAACTTGAATGTGGAAGGAGTCAACTTGTAATAAATTCAAAAGAACTCCATTATTATAGTGTAGAAGTGGTGAGTCATATGACTCAAGTACTCTGCAGGATTATTCTTCTTCTCTTCATTATGTCTGCTAATCATTCAGACAAGAAGTACTGACTTCGCCTTTGAGACAGGTCAACACTTTTATATTCTTCTGTAAGTTCTCTTACATATTGACACATAATGACATATATTACATATTACATACATTGACACATATTGGAGAGGAAAAGAGGGAAGGGAAGAGAAGGAGTGGAGGGGAGAGGAAAGGAAAAGGGAGAGGGAGAGGAGAGGCAGAGGCAGAGGGAAAAAGGAACGGCAGGGCAAGGAACGGAAGGGAAGGGAAGGGAAGGGAAGGGAAGGGAAGGGAAGGGAAGGGAAGGGAAGGGAAGGGAAGGGAAGGGAAGAGAAAGATGGATTTCAGGTTATTTTTGACAAAATGTGCTGTGTTTTTTGACACTTGCACTATAGTGTAGTTATTGTTTTTCAGTCTTATCATTCCTGGTTTGATACTGCAGACCTGTAAGCCTCAAGAATCTCCTGACTCTTCTGAATAGGTTATTTCTGTAGCAAGAAGTCACAGGGAGAGGAGCATGCCCAAATAATCAGTGCATTATCCAAGCTTATTTTTCATTGTATTCTATCTGAATTTGATATTTCAAGAAGTATGAATATCTTTTTACAAAATCAAGATTTGCAGCACATTCAGTCTTTCAATTGCAAGCGTTTTTTTCTGTCAAAACCTTGTTCTTCTCAGAGCGAGAGAGACATGACCCGCAGTCTATTTTATGATCCCATTTTGCTGTGTGAACCAGAGATGAACATAGAGCTATTTATATATGATGAAGTCCAGCAATCATATAGCTTTCTGCATTTGTTTCTAGTTGTGCAGCAGTGAATGTGAAGGACTAGGCAAGCAGATGTGTAGAATTTAGCGTATAGGTTTGAAAAGAATAATTCCGGACTCTATTCTGTCCCTCAGTAATCATGAATTATTGTGTGTACTGCATAAGCTATGCTTTGTTTATAAGCATGAAATAAGAAAAAGGATACTTGCTGCATGGTGAAGCTATGGATTTTAATGTATGTTTACAGAGCACACCAATCTTAAAGCAAAAAAGATAATAGTGAAATATTGTCTCTAAAGATAGTTCATGCAAAAGGATTCCATTCTGAGTTGATCATATATGTCACTAAAATTAAAAATAAATTACAACTTATTTAATGCTTCAGTAAGATTATTAAGCGCACTTGCCTGGGTTTTCCAGCTTCCCTAGATWTTTTTTTGTGTGTGTGAGGAAAAATGAGAATCTTTCATCAGGTTTGTGACTTCATGGTTTGGTTTTCTGTCTTCCCCATCCTCTCTGTTGGATTTACACGCCTACGCTTATATTTTTTTTCAACTATAGGTGTAGGATACTCAGGGAGACTAGGCTCTACTGCAAGATAATATTCACAGCAAACCTTATTTGGAAAAGTACAATTATTTATTGATTTGACTTTTTAAAAATAATAGTGAATAGCAGACAACTATGATGTGTAATCTCTATCTGCTCTCCTGTTAATTGGTTATGAATGAAGGGTTAACTGGCCATAGCTTCTATAATTCACATATCTATAGATATATGTATGGATGGCATACATTATGATCTACACAGCACCACTGAGGCTGACAGGGACCTTATAAGGTTTCCATACCAGAGTCCAAAGCAGGCTCAGCTGTGCAAGCAAATCAGATTGTTCCAGAGGTGGCCACCCTCTGGGTGGACATCAGGGCTGGCCACCCTCTGAGGACAGAGGGGCATCTCSATCCATCTCTGGCCTGTCTCAGTGGGGTCCTCTGTTTTATCCCACCATTTGGTGTCACATCCGACCTGACAGGCTTGCTGCCTGACCCTCCACCTGATCACAGGTAGTGTTGTCTCACATAAGGCAGTAACATACACTACAGTGTTTTGAACCTGAGGAAGGAAAGCCGTGTGCAGGCTTTATGATGCATGAGAACCTCTTACAGCTCAGGGCTTTGTTAAGACACCTGTGCTGGTTTTATCAAATTTATGAGACCTCTTTTTGATCCATCATCAGCCATTTGAGCTGCCATTTCCTATGTGATGTTTTTCTTTCTCTGTGGAGCTTGCATAATTGACAGAAGCTGTTGCTTTTCCTTTCCTATTTTGACAAAACCCCAAAAGAAGGGGAAGGTTTTGCAAGTGTTATCTAGATTCCTGGCTAAGTGGTGTTGCAATGACAGCTTTTTGCTCAGCTTCGTGTCTGAAATATGTTTCCCTTGCTTCTCCATACTCATTGAAGCAAAGTATTTTTTCAAAAATTTGGTATTACCATATTACATCATCAGATGAAGCAAATAAAATCCTACAGCCTCAAGTACCCTCTTGAGTTACATTAGACACCAATGAAGTTGAACAAACCTTTGGCAATAGAATACTTCCAAATAGCCCACTGGGCTCCACATTTTATTGTTAATCTTAGAGAACATTGCAGTATAACTCTAAATCTACTTTAAGCTATGTACAATTTGAGGCAAATCTACTACTATTATAAACCTCAATTTCTTTGTTTTTCAGGAGAGTTCTAAAGCAGCTCATCTAAAAAGCTGTAATGCTCACCTTATAAATCCATTTATATAGTTGTGTGCTATGGACTTGTGGAATGAAAGTTTGGCCTAGTAGTATTTTAGAATCAGTTTCAAAGTTAGGAGATTATYTGAGTTATCTTTATGTCTCCCTGTTAATTTAAAACCATTTCATTTTAAAAAGATGAGATCAAATGTATTTCCATTAGAATTAATTATGTTGATATTTGCTGTAATTGCTCACTGTGCTTTTTATTTCCATCTTTTTCATTTTGAGATTTTGCAGAACTCATGAAGCAATCTCTTATTACATCAGGTTATCATTCAGAAAAAATATTCAATTACTCTTTTTTCTTCTGTTAAGACAGACACTTTGATTCCTTATTGTCCTGCAGACATTTCCTCAGAAATAAGCATTATTTCTCCTATATCTTTCTTTTTCTATTTTTTCCTGGTTCTGAAATATACAAGTGAATAGTAGGGACTTGGCAGGTTTCCCAAGGAGTGAGTGTATACCTTGTGTTGACAGGTTATCTGTATGTTCAAATGTTATATATCAAATCTCTGCCAGCATACACAATACTACTGAAATACTCAAAGTGACACTCTATAGAACATAATAATCTGGGGAAGAGACAAATTACAAAAATGTATTACTTTTGCTTTCTTCTTCCTGTTGTTTTTGAATCTGTTAGTTTACAAAAGAAGAGTACTTAGATAGTAACTGTGAAACAATCATTATTTTCACATCTCTACTTAGGACACCTGTTCTCAGTGTGTGCTAAGAATCATATTACATTATTTTTATGGAAAAAAGGCAGACATAGTTCATTTTATTTTTGAAAAGCTAAAAGTGCTATGGAGGAATGTTTCATATATTTCAGCAACACTATTAACTGAAACTAATGTTTTAGTACTTGGGTGCCAAAATGATTCTATACATTCCAATGGCAGGATTTATTTTCTTGTCATTTCCCAGTCAACTTCATTATTTGCAGTAGATTTGCAGAAGTAAATGAGGGTAGCATTTAGTCTAGATAATCTCTGTGACCTCATTACACAAGACTTAACAACAGAGATTTTCCTTGACTGCCAGAGTCGAAGTTCCATTTTCAGTAATTGCAATTAGAAAAGGTTACTAGAAAGTCAGCTATATTGATAAGCATATCTGTCAGCAAAAATACAGAAACATGGCACTAGATGCAAATGTTACTGAAGAGATACTTTTGTATATAGTACCTGAATTACTTATAAACTGAGCAAACTCTTTCTGAATTTGGAAATACATATAATGGTTTTAATGCTTTTCTCTGTTATTGTTTCATTCCATCTTTTTTAAAACTTTCATTTCCGACATGTACCTGTATATTCAAAGGCATTTTCTATTTCATATGGTAGTTAAACTTTCTGATATTCTTCTCCAGATTTTTGTTCAATTACTTTCCCATTATATGTGCATTATTTGCAGTTTGAAAGATTTATTTGAAATCCTTAGTAGTTTGTAATGTATAAATTAAAAATAAATTTTCTCAGAGTTGAGGGTAATTTAATTCTTAGTCCATTTAAACTATTTGCTATTTACATTCAATATGTTCAATAAAACTGTTATGAACTGAAATATATGGATAATAGTCTAATAAGTTTGAAAATATGTGTTCTACTACACAAATAAACAATGGGCAATACTGTTCAACTCTTTTCTTAGTGCCTGGCCAGCCATTGAATTTTAAAGCAGAACCTGAGTCTGAAACAAGTATATTACTTTCTTGGACACCTCCACGCTCTGATACTATTTCCAGCTATGAACTGGTTTACAAAGATGGGGAGCACGGGGAAGAGGTAAATGATGTACATCTTTTAAATTACTCTAAATTCTTAAATGAGATAAGCTTTAAATGCTGCGATGGCTTAGAACTGATTTCTTTAGTATGAGTAACTTGATATTAAGCTGTTTGTTAAATGGAGCAGCCAGCCTAATGGTAGACTTGGAAAGTGTAAACACTAGCCGGTATGTGGCCACTAGCTGGTAGAAACTTTGCTTATTTTGGCAAATTTAGCTTTGGTAATTGTTTGCAAAAAGTCATCTGTAAAAGTTGCGTGCAGATGGTTCAGATGGTAATGGTCCTTCCTCTCAAAGATAGTTCCTCCATGAATACCTGGGAGCAGAGATAATTAAAAAAACAACAACAAAAAAGCCATTATCAAGCAACTCTGACAAAAATGGAAACTGGTAGTGGCAGCAGAGGAGTGTCAGTGCTCTATTGCAGTCCTGTGTTATTATTGCTAATACTTCAAATGAAGCTGAGTTTATGACAGCTTCACACGTATAGGTAGGCATAGGCACAGTCAGAAACCATGTCTGTGGGATTCTTCTCTGAAATACAGAAAAGATCTGTATTTCACCTTCAAAAAGGAGATAGACACTTACTGATGCCTTACACTCTGGAATAACTTGCTACTTAAGATTTGGAACACAAATTTAACTATAGGCTAAACCTACCCAAGATTACCAAGATTACTCACATCATAAAGTCCTGTATTTCACTGCCATCAGAGGTAACTATATATATATATATATTTTTTTTTTCTTCATGTTCATGTGTTAATGTCTGAAAAGTCTTGTATGCTCTGTACACAGCTATTACATTTTCAAAGACTCAAGCAATATTTCTGCCTGTAAGTTTCAYCTGTTAAGCTGTCTAGTTCAAAAAATTGTTTTTTAAAGGCTATTTGTCATAATTAATGTATTACTTTGGGAGTTTATTATTGTTCTGTTATGGTTCATTTTCTTGAATTTAAACCTTAGATTCTTGTCAATGGGTCTGTCAACAGCCTGTAAAGCATTTCTTCTATAGGAAACTTAAAGAATTCAGAATCAAGAATATTAATCAAGACATCTGATTCTCTTATTAATTAACCTTTAGCAACGTGTTTCCACTGAGCCTACTACATCTTATCGCCTACAAGGACTGAAGCCAAACAGCTTGTACTTATTCCGCCTAGCTGCCCGTTCTCCACAAGGCCTGGGTGCTTCTACAGCAGAAATCTCAGCCAGAACCATGCAGTCAAGTAGGTGTCTTTCTTCGATAATTTTATTTGCTTTGTTGTCTTTGTGGAAGGGATGCCTCTCAGAAATCCAGGGGAGCAACAGCAAAGGAAAAGACTAAATGATGCAATATACAGCATTCACGATGCTTAGCACAGCAAAAGTGTTCTTAAGACATATACTTTATACGTATATTATGGTCAGCTAAATATTTGAGTGGCTCTTGCAGGTCGTCAGAAAGGGACTTTGTATGTAAAGAACAAGTGTCCAAGAAGACAATACTGTGTTGTCAAAATAATCTTTTATTTTTGGGTCGTAATAGTTTCACATGGTAGATGCATATAAGAAACGGTTATCTATCCCTAAAATTTCCCCTGTTCAGTGTATGAATTTCCTGCAATAACAGGTTAAGTCTGCAGCAAAGCTTTGTGGTACAAACATTTTTGAGTTGGCTCAGTGAGAAGATTTCTGATTGTACATAAAGAATCCTTAAAATTGTTCCTCAATAAAAACTAGTCCTTCTGAGCTTTAGTAATTTTTAGTATCTACTAATTTAGTAATTAGTAACCAATTATTTTGCATAATAATTTTGCAGGCTTGTTATGACAATTGCTTTCTTAAMTATTTTATTACAGTACATAAGTTTAAAACTTAATTTGATTAAAACAAAGGAACTCTTCTTAAAGYAATATCATTCAAAACAAAAATTCAGATTCTCAATTAACATGCTTAACTTTTTTTAGCTTGAATTATCTGATGCATGTAATTACATCATATTTTTTGGTAGTGTTATATATTAATAATTCTTATACCTAGAGAAGAAGTGCTGTAATGCTTTAGTTTAACTAAAACCAAATGGACTTCCAAAAGCCTTTCTATGACATTCTGAATAAACATAAAATACCTTAATACATAACATAAGATTGGTTGTACCGGCAGTGGCGGTGTCCCTCTTCACTTTTATTATCTAGTTTCATTAATTTGATATTTTGATGAAAAAAAAAAATTTAGAAGTGTCTATTTTCTCTGCAAATCTCACTTACTGAAAATAATCATTCTTTTATAACATATTTGCTTAAGATTGCTCAAGCTGTGCATCTGAAAGAAATATTTAGGGACCAAGGTTGTGTGTAATCAAATTGCCATTTTACTCTTCTGGAATTTAAGAGCATGTTGTGCTTTTTTTTTTATTTTTTTCAGACTTATGTCTTCAGATAGTACACAAATTTGGAAAGTGTGTGTATAAAGAGTAATTAGTCAAGCCTTTTTTTTAGGATCAGAGACAGTCTTAATTTGGATGAAAGCAGTGGCAAATTATGATTAATTTCAGTGCTATGTAAGCAGATCCTTTTTTTGCTAAAAAAGTAGCAAGCTAAAAATTGTGTATTTTAAGAATACAGTGTTAATATAAAGTGTTTTAATAATATAGAGTGTTAATAAAACTAGTTACTCATGATAGGCTATAGAATATCCTCAGCTACATAACTGCCATATTTATATTTTTTAGAGCATAGTGGATGAAAAATTATTAAAATTCCATCAGCTCATTAGCAGTATTCACCAGAATATTTTGTGGCCTTTCGTCTTGGTTACAGGGCAAGATGCTACAAGGATTTATTTCTTCTTGTGTGAGATCCTTAAGGGGTATTTCACTTATACTTTTATTTCTGCACATATTCATGATAGAAAGGGACCCGTCTGTTTTGAGTATTTGATTACCAAATTAGCTTAAAAAAAAAAAAAATAAAAGCCCAAATGAGATCATTCTGATCTATCTCCCAGCTGCCTTTTCTAGTCGGTTGAAATGCTGATATGTTCCCTCCTGTTTTCCCTTTGGAAGAGCAAAGTACCATACTGAGTAGGAAGTCTTTGATCCCTGTAGAAGAGCTGTGGGAAACCGAAAGATACATGTGTAAATGCAATAGGTCACAGCAGGGTCCTAGGCCTTCTCTATTCCTTTAATTTTGCTTGATGTGCCTAGAATAAGTACCAGAAATTTATTTCTTCTTTTACCTTGAGAAATGATTAAAAAGAAAAAATCAA